AATTGATGTTCGAGCTGGACATGGTAAATTTTCTCTTTTTTTTTCGTTAATAATTAATAAATATTTCTTCGAATCCTTCTCTTTTAGGTGCAGGAAAACCGACAATCAAACGAATTGAAGAATTGTCGGATATTTATTCTTTCGTTTCTTACACATTAGGTGCTCAATGGCATGATTGATCAAACTAAAGACATTTTTCTTTTCTTTTCATGTTAGAATTAAGTTTTTCTCGCATTAAAAAAAGAAATACGCAGACAAAATCATTTTTTTCAATAAAAGTGAGATAAATCTTGTTTTAGAAATGTCTTCACCTCGTGTAAAACTTACTGAAAATCTTCAATCTCTTTGTAATAAACATGGTTTAATATGGGATGATCAATTATCAAATGATATTCCACGAAAATGGCGTATACATGGTGATATACTTCTTCTTCCTTCAAATCGTTGTTTTCGTGATTCTCGATGGTTAAATCATATTCGTCTGTTGTTTTTATTCCGAATAAATCATTTTCGTTTACTCAAAATATTAATTTTTAGCATCTGATCAATTTTGGTCAACTATTGCTCGATCATTTGGATCATCAATTAAACGTATTGCTTTCGAAGGTTCTATAAAAAATGATGATTTTCGATCTCCAAATACACGATTAGTATTAGGGACTGATCCATGGATAAATCTAGTTGAAAATGGTATAAAGTAGGTTAGTTGAAATTCATTTTCATTCTTATGAGAAAACTTTTTAATTGAAGATTTTCATATAATGTTGATAAAAGTATGTTTTGTGCTGGAAATAATACAGAACGAATGAGAATGGGACGAATATCATGTGTTAATGAAACAATTGTTGATCTTTATGCCGGTATTGGATATTTTACACTTCCATTTCTTGTTCATGGTCATGCACGTCATGTTTATGCTTGTGAATGGAATCCAGATGCAATGGAAGCACTTCGTCGTAATCTTCAAGCAAATCATATTGATGAAGATCGTTATACACTTTTATTAGGAGATAATCATTTGGTTTGTTTCTTTTTGTTATAGAAATTTATTTTAAATTTTGTTTGTTTTTTAGATATGTCCTGTTGGTGTAGCTGATCGATGTAATCTTGGTTTAATTCCATCATCTGAAGCTAGTTGGCCTATTGGATGTCGAGCACTTCGATCTGAAGGTGGTCGTCTTCATGTACATGGAGTTGTTAATACAAAACAAGAAACACACGATCAATGGAGTGAAAATGTTAGACAACGTATTGAAACAATTATGCGAGATATTCATCAAGAAAAAAACAATTATAAATGTGAAATAGAACATATTGAACGTGTTAAACCATATGGACCACATTTAGATCATCTTGTTGTTGATTTATTATTAACTAAAATCTCATCATCATCATGAGAAAGAAAAGAATACTTTTCAAAAAAGTTTTCAATTTATTTTTTAATTGAAAATATATGACTGTTCAACTATTTGTTTTAAAGTAATAATTTTATTTCTCAACAAAAGAATATTTCAATAATTTTTTTTTTCATTCACTCAATTCAAAATCGAACATAGCTAGATCTTTGAGAATATTATTTTCTGTATCATTATCTTCTGAGAATAATTTTAAAATCTTGAAATCGATATAATCGAATCATGTAGTATGTTTGTTTGCGCTACCACCAGTATACTGGAAGCGCTAGAAAGTATTTTCGACGAGTTAACAGCTATGATTTTATGCTCTTTTCTAAATCAATTGTTTTACAGATTGCATACTTCCCAATAAAATGTCATATTGAAATAATCTGTAGCTTTTACTCAGATGAAACTACAAGCACTTTTCCAAGAACTTCGTTCAACATGAAACGGTTGTTGATTTTTCAAAAATAAATATTTAAAAAAAAATGTCAATTGAGGCGTCTTATCGACAGATAAACAGAAATTTCAAATAGTGCATTTTATAGCGTAGGGTAGCGTGTGAGTTTAGGTGTAGACTTTGAGAAGACTCACACCTACACTCTAAACTCTTTTTATTACCATAACTCAGTTATAAAGTTAAATCAATGTGAAAAATAGCATTGAATCAGATATTTCAAGAAACTATTTGTCCAACGAAGAACAAACTGCTGTAAGAGTAGGGACAAAATTTTAGAAAAATGGACCGAAGTCAGACTACTGATTTTCTTCCGTGGTAAACAAGTTTTATTGAGAGTGTAAATGTTGAAGATTTATCTTCTCTCACATCTAACACCCGTATTAAGAATGAGAACATTCAAAATTAGTCGATACTATCTTTTAACAATGAATTTTATACATATCAACTGAGAGATCAACTGATAATAAATAATAAATCAGAGAAATAATTCTATGATCAATTAAAATCGATCTTTGAAAACATACTCGAAAGTATCAATTGAGATCCCATAACAGTGACTCTTCGCCATGTCAACTAAAAACTATTCTTCACTCTTATTCGATTCTATAAATAATCACTTTAAAAAGATTTGCATTATTTATTTTATTTATTCAATCAGAACACAAGCAACTTTCTAACAAAGGAAAATAAGCATAAAAATCTTTTGAATGCTCCAGGAGTGGCCCGACTATCTAAACTTTGGGGGGTTGTAAGTAGAATTTTTTGACATAAGAGTGTGTCCCTTGACTGACGAGAGAGGTATCCCAACTGTTTAAAAGCTTTTGACTCCATCTTTTGGCTATGAGTAGGTTTCAGTGAGACTAAGAAAATCCTAAAAGGGTTCGTGCCCATGGTTCTTCCTTCCCGAGATACAACCATAATGTACCGGGTGGGAAATAACATTTTGCCAGGGGATACGCTATAATTTCAAATAGAAGACATAATGAATTTTATATCAAATGAAAGCTCGTCAAAAATGAGTTTATTGATACTAAATAGTAAGGATTATGAAAACTTTTTAATATCGAATTTAAGAAACTTTCAGAAATTTTATACTTTTTTTGCGGTGGAAAAGTAAAGTGTCAGTAATTGAAAAATGAATTAAAATGTTTTTCTTGGATATTTTTACATGGTTCGATAGAGCTCGTCGAGCTCTACAAAACTGTATACACTAAAAAATTTTCGAACAGAGTTGTTGGGTTAAAATTCACTGAAAACTGTCTAAAGAATATACCGAAAAACCCTCATTTTTTTACACTTTTTATAGGGGAAAAAAGTGGCCCTTTTTACACTAAATTCAGCTGTTTTCCATTAGTATCCTTATGTAAAATGTGTGAAAATATACTCATTCGATGCAGCATCGAATGAATATATTTCGAAACATCTGAGGAAATAAAAATAATCAGAAAAAACGAAATTTTATTGAAAATTCGAGTGTTTTTCTTCCATATCAAAAATATGACTTTTTTAAGATTTTCCGAATAGTTTTTTAAAATTTTTATCAAAAGAAAAAGACTCAAAAATTTTTTAATATATACAGTTTTGTAGAGCTCGACGAGCTCTATCGAACCATGTAAAAATATCCAAGAAAAACATTTTAATTCATTTTTCAATTACTGACACTTTACTTTTCCATTGCAAAAAAAGTACAAAATTTCTGAAAGTTTCTTAAATTCGATATTAAAAAGTTTTTCATAATCCTTACTATTTAGTATCAATAAACTCATTTTTGACGAGCTTTCATTTGATATAAAATTCATTATGTCTTCTATTTGAAATTATAGCGTACCCCCTGGCAAAATGTTATTTCCAACCCGGTACATTATGGCTGTATCTCGGGAAGAAAGAACCATGGGCACGAACCCTTTTAGGATTTTCTTAGTCTCACTGAAACCTACTCATAGCTAAAAGATGGAGTCAAAAGCGTTTAAACAGTTGTGGTACCTCTCTCGTAAGTTTCGAACTTCGACTTGAAACTTTGCATATAGATAGGCCTCAGTGAGAATAGTTTATTGTGAAAGTTTCAGATCTTTTCGTTGTTCCTATTCTAAGATACAGCTATGGTAAAATAGCTTATATACGCTAGCAGATTCCGATTTTCTTATTTCAGACTACGAGCAATCAAAAGGTCTGAAACTTTCACAATAAACTATTCTCACTGAGGCCTGTCCTTGTATAACGTTCAAGTTGAAATTCGAAACTCAGTTTTTTTAGTGTTTCTGAGGAGAACCACGGCTTTTTGCTTATGCATACAGTAAAAATGCAATATCTCGGCAGTAATAAGCTAGCAGCACGAACTTTTTTCAGAGTATTCACAGATCATTAGGACCTACATGATTCGCATACGCTCGACTCAAAAGTGATGTGACACTTGGGAATGTTCCCTCGTTAGTGTTTTTTGTTTTACAAAATGATAAAAAATAAAAATCTTATGAAACTTGAAATTTCAATTTTTGAGAAGGCGCTCAGAATAGCTCTATCTACTTTATAGTGTTCTTTGAAGATTCATTTTGCATCTTCACAGTGAAATGAGCTCACTGGAGTTTAACCATACACTTGTCATATTGAATACTCAAATGACCTCTATTCCTTTTCTTTAAAAAAAGGTATCATAATAATCCTTTAGAATTCTGGATTTGGATACCATTCTCAGAATCATTTAAAGTTCCAGCCAAAACTTCTAGAACCTTTTTAGGTTCAACAGTTTCGGGGTACAACCTATTCAAGTTCTAACTAAAAAGTCTTAAACTTAAAATGGTTTATGAAACAGTACTAAAAGCTTGGATCCTAAAAGGATTATTATGACATTTTATTTTAGAGAGCACTCGATTCAATATAAGCTCTGCTAGATTAATGTCAGAGAGTAAAGGATTGATGAAGAAACAAGTAAAATTTTCTTATTTAATCACAATACTGTATTCTTTTTAGATAACCAATAACTCGAATACATCAACACCAGATTTATATAATCAACAAGCATGTCATATAATAAACGAAACACAAAAAATAGGTCGTATGAGTGAAATGGTTTTTTTTTCGAACAAATTGATTATTGGCAAACAGCTGCAGATGAGAAATTCGATATAAATTATTTTAATCAATTTATGGAAGCCATCGAATCAAAAACAGCTTTACCACAATTTGATACAAAAAACCATTACGTGAAACGTGCTCCATCAGCAAAATCGGGACTCGATATTGATGACAGTGCTGATGATTATTATGTGTAAAATTTATTAATAAAAAAGGTTAGATTTCAAACTATAGCTGCAAAAAATATTTTACTCTTGTCAAATCGTCTGAGGCAATGTGAATTGAAAATTTAATACCTAATTTTGCTTTTGCTCGTTGTGATTCATTTAATATTATGAAAACGCGATTTTTGGATTACAACTAGTTGGAAGTGTATGCTGTGTACTGATGAAAGAATTTTCAAAATATTATGTATCGGGAAAAAACATTCACACAAAAATCAAAAGCAGTATCGAGCTGATCCAAATTATTCTACTTGGAGTAAATCGGATCAATAGGCCAATCTAAGTGAAGTAATTCGGATTATTACAGAGAAAACCACTACGCTCTCATTTTCCTATCTCTTAACTTATTTCTTATCAGTTCTTATAGAGTAAAAAAACAAATATCATTCAATACCCTAAAGTATCTTCTATGGGACTTAAGAATTGCTCAATGCATTGTTAACGTCACTAGATGGTATATAATGAGGGTGTAGATGTAGGTATATGGGTATGAGTGTTAGCGGAATAACTAATAACAACTAGATCCATGCCCACACCCACATCCACCCCATTCTAGAAGTTTTTTGATTGCTTCATTCTATGAATTCAACAGCATCTGTCAATCCACTTTGTACCAGTAGTGTCAAACCTAAAAGTTGAATCCAATTATTGAAGAACGTTTTCAACTATTCAATAATTGAGTCATTGAAGTTCAGATATTCAACTATTCAATTATTCGGATAGTTGAAATTCAGATATTCAATTATTTGAATTAGGGTTGTTACTTTATTTTTATTTTCTTTATAATAAAGAATAAAGATAAAGAAAATCTTTATATTTAAAAAATCAAGATAAAGAAATTAAAAAATCTTTATATTTATAAAATAAAGATAAAGGAAATCTTTATATTTATAAAATAAGGATAAAGAAAAAATTCTTTATCTTTATAAAATAAAAATAAAGTTTTTCCTTATTTTCAAAAATAAAGATGAAATAAAGAATAAAGAATTTTTTTCCTATCAAAACTCATTTTATTTTATTTTGTTGAAGTACCTCACAAAAAATGATCATATTATACAATAAAATATAATATGCAATAACACTTTTTGCATATGTCGTTTCATGAGTGGTCCTTATTTTTTGACGATATGATATATGAAAGTGATGATTGTGGTAAGAAAGGACACTAGTTAACATATTGTGTCCTTATACAAGGTATTTGCATATGTATCTATTACATGAAAAACATATATCTCTATTCTTTATTTTACCTTTATTTTCACAAATAAAGATTATCTTTATCTTTATTTTATAGAAAGTAAAGATTTCTTTATTTCTTCATCTTTATTTTTTAAAATAAAGATTATCTTTATTCTTTATAAAGTAAAGATAAAGTAAATTTTTATCTTTATTTATAAAGTAAAGGTAAAGTAATACCCATAATTCGAATAGTTAAAGTTCAGATATTCAATTATTCAATGATGCAAATGGTTGAGTTCCAGATATTCAACTATTCAATTATTCAATTGTTCATTATTCGTCCTATCAGGCAGTTCTTTCGGGGTATCTATAGCAGCTGCGATAGTGAGTATGTTTTAATAATTGAATAGTTGGAATAGGTTTTCAATAATTGAATTCAACTTTCAAGTTTGACATATATGTCTCATGCAAGATTTTGAAAACATTCCACTTCATGAGAGACAAAATATTTCATGGAATCCCATGATGACAAATGCCTTTTACAGAAATTGTTTTATCAAGAAGAAAATTGTTTCGAAATAGATGTCTTTCTCGCCTATTCGAGCAAAACAAATGAGAATTTTTTTCCTAATTTGTAAGTAGTTAAGCACTGTAACCATTGGAATTTGATAAAACAAATAACAATGAATCAACATATAAAGTAACAGTGCAGCTCGATCTATTGTAATAGTAACAAATGATTTGATTCCACTTTTACTTATAATTGATAGTATGTCTTCAGATAAATCATGGTCTGTGGTTCAATGTCAATCTGATCAACTTGATTCAATACGCGTGGCCACTGTTTTGTGTTCTTCTATCATTACTTTATCATCATCTTTTATTGTTGATTCTTCATCAGCTGCTCATGGATTTTCAACTGAACGAATTGCTCGTTTATTAGAAAAAGATCCATTGAATTAAAAAGTCATTAAAACCACAAAGAATAAGTTATCTTCATTTTCTTGGCAGATTTCTGGCATTTCAGTCAATGAAACTCATATAGGCCAATAATTTGAATTAATTCGAGGCTTTGCCAGTTGTCAATTATGTTTTCAGTCGTATACATCTATATCGAGTTCTAGCCTACGAGTACTCAACGCACATAGTTGTGCTCAAAAGTTATCTTCTAGTTCTAGAAGAAGATCTTCATCGGCAGATAGTGATGAAACTCAAATGAAATTAGAAACAGTTTACATTTATAGAAAGAATGAAACGTATTATTTCATTGTGGAAATAAGTAAAAAAGTGTGGACTGGACTATAAGAAAATTGTGAAATACAAAATGAAATGATGTAAAATTTGGTGAGTATTAATGGACATGATAGATGCGTTAAATATTTTTTTTAAAGATATTTGACAAGTGTGAAGTTCCATGATATGGGATGGAAAATTTTCCTTCCCATTCCATCTCATGTGAAACAAACTTTTTTGAAGATAGTCCCATCCTACGTGGAACCTTGATATGGACAGAATGTAGAAAAAGGCATCTTATGTGGAACTTAAACCAAACATTCTTTGCTATTCAGACACATGTCTAAGGCCAATTTTATATTAGAAGAGACATCTTGAAGTACGTTTAGTCTTAGGCTGCACCATCATTAATGCTAAAATATTCAATTAAAATTGTCTCTGCTGAACTGAATAGACTCACTCATTTAAGTGAACAGTGATATCATTCTGTGTGAGCAGGGTGTGGTCGTGGGCGTTGATGTTCAAGTCAATCAACACCGACACCTATACCCATCGTTGACTCCTATACTCTTTTTTAATATATATCTAAATTTGGATTTTTGTCAAGATAGAAGAAAGAGAAAAACATTAACTTTCTAAAAATCTACGTAAATTTTGTTCTTGGGAGTGAAAACAGAAGGCAAAAAGCAAATATACAGGATTTGGGAGAAAGTACACTTATCAACCTGTCGTTTTTTCACACTGGAACATAAAAACATTTCTTCAAATATTTAAAGTAAAGAGAATACACTCCAACAAAAAACAGAAATGCTTTTGAAAGCCCAATTAGTATCTGTACTTTTATATGCACTGGTCCTCGCCGCTAATGGTAGGCTTATATCTTTACATTGGAATTCTTCTTACATCTTCAAATCTAAAACAAAATTTATACTTCTTTGTTTGCAGCTCACATGGCAGCTTGGTCCAGAGGCATGTACTGTATGAAGGTATGTAGAGAAAAAAGTCACTAAAACATCGTATTTCACGGTTAATGCTTTCTATCCTGCTCGTAGTGTGATGCCTAGTATTATTTTCTCAAGTTTATGTTCTTTTTAGGGACGTGGAGGTGAAAACAACATGAATAACAACTTACCTGTAAACCCTTTGGTTGATCTGACTCAGAAGGACTGGTGGTTTCAACATTATCAAGGCTGTGACAAAGAACCGCCACCCGCCGGTGACTACCTTGAACTACCGGCAGGAGGCTCGTTCACTGTTGAGATTGCAACTAATCGTGCTTTCACAACTTTTGGTCACAACAGAAATTTCAACGGATATTTTGGTGGTCCACAAGAACTCGAATATACTCCTTGGGGCTGTGTTTCCGATCCTAATTTGCACACACCAAATCAAGATTCAGCACCGGGAACAGTTTTTGCTATCTCCTATCAGAATAGCATCGATAAAGTTACACCAGAAAATTTGGTTGTCTTCACTGTAAGATACAAAACTCCCTGGCAAAGAGTAACGTCATACGATGTGCCAAAAGATTTACCTCCCTGTCCTCCAGGGGGTTGTACATGTGCATGGGGGTGAGTAAATTTTTTCACACTTTATAGTTCTTCGAAATTCTTTTTCTCTGACGTTAGATGGATCCCTATGGGCTGTGGACAACCGAACATGTATATGCAAGGTCATAAATGTATAGTCACTGGCTCAACTTCCACTAAAAAGCTTGCTGTAGCTAAACCTCCAGTTTATTGTGAAAATGACCGTTCGAAATGTGTAAAAGGAGCAAAACAAATGATCTTCTATTTCCAAAAAGATGGCAATAATGTCTTTAATGTTCCAAAAATGCCAACATACAACGAAGTTATGGGCTTTTCAGAAGGTGCACAGAATGATATTTTTGAAGACTCTAATTTAGTGTCGACTGTGGGTTAAATCTATCGTTTTTCGTATATCAATAAAAAAAATGTCAGTAGCACAACAGACTGGCCAAAAGTAAAACATGTATGGATGATACGGCTAACAAAAAGTGAACCAAGATAAGACCGATGTTACTCAAAAAGTAAACTTTTGGTGTAAGTGTGGGATGTGGACAAGGGAAACAAGCAGATTTTAAGATTTCAAAAGATTCCAAAAGGTTTTAGAGATAATGGATGGCAACGCCTGCATTTTCTTCTTGATCAAAATCAACCAGTTTTCGCTTGTGCTCATTAGAACTGTCTATTCCAAGCTCGGAAGCTCTCAAATGCGCACTCAGGAGTGTGAACTCCACATTCCTAACATCGACCAATTACACTCATAGTGCTTTTAACTGTAGCAATAGTTTCTCGTTTTACTTTTAATTTTTCTGCTCACACTCGTATTTTCTTTTTTTTTTTATGTAATACCCACAGTTCTTGCATCCATTAAAATATAAGAGGCATAAAAATGTTTACTGAGAAAGTTAGGGTGTGGAAGTGGCTGTGGGGGTACGGGTAAATGCGGGCATGGGCATAATCGTACATGACACGAATTGTCACGCCCATACCCTTCAAGGTTTTCTAAATAAGGTGGCTTGGTGTGGGATCCCATGAGTCGAAAATTTAAAGGTCTACCCATTAATAAAACCTT